TGGAGTGTCAAATCTAAACGGCTAACCATGGACTCTCGACAAGACTGGATTTCCTCTCCACTGACCCTTGCATTGGTCAAGTACCTATCTACAACTGTGCTGTCATCAGCATACGCAAAGGTACCTGGAATTAACATATCATTGATATGCAGCAGAAAGAGAGTTGCAGACAGTACGGAACCCTGAGGAACTCCGGCATCTATCGCCATATGTTCGGAAGAGTAGCCTTCTAAGACCACTCGAATCGAACGTTCGCTCAAGAAATCCGAGATCCAATTGCAAAGGTCAGTGGGAAGCCCATAAGAGGGAAGCTTGCTTAAAAGGCTTGCGTGCCAGACCCTGTCAAAGGCTTTAGAAATGTCCAAAGACACTGCAAGTGCTTCGCCTTGCTTTTCTATAGCCTCGCTCCATATGTGACAGGCATACACAAGAAGATCCCCAGTAGATCGCCCTCGTCGGAATCCGTACTGGCGATCACTGAGGAGATCGTTGTCTTCAAGGTACGATAGGAGACGGTTGTTGAGTACACGTTCCATAGTCTTGCAGAGTATGGAAGTGACTGAGATAGGTCTATAGTTGACAGGGTCAGCTCTGCTTCCCTTTTTTGGTACAGGTTGCACGTTTGCAAGCTTCCACGATCTGGGAACTACACCAGTCTCAAGTGAGAGGCGGTACAGGCGTGTGAGAACAGGAGACAACTCAGGTGCACAGTTACGAAGGACTATTGCTGGAATTCCATCTGGCCCGCTAGCTTTATTCACGTCTAGATTTCGCAGAGTTCTAAGTACCTCTTTTTGGCGTATGCGAACTGGCGCCATAGTGCAGCCAGCCTGAGGTAAAGTAGGTGGTAGGGTCCCTGCGGCATCTAGACGCGAATTTTCTGCAAAGAGTGAGGCAAAGAGATTCGCCTTCTCTTCCGCAGTATGAGCCAGCGAGCCATCCGGCCTCAGCAGAGGTGGCAAAGATGGGCGACAAAAGTTCGATTCGACCGCTTTGGCCAGGGACCAAAAGGATTTGCTGCCTGCTGGATAAGAGGCAAGCTTGGCTCCTATGCGGCGCACATGGTCGAACTTGGCCCTACGTAACATGCTTTTGCACTTCTTGGCGGCCTTATTAAAAGCTTTCTTCATGTTCTGAGTACTCGGAGTTTTGCGTAGTCGAGCATCTGCCCAAGCTTGGTACGCGGACTGTTTACGTGCTTCAGCACAACTACAATTAGCGTTAAACCATGGACGAGCTTGGGGTCCATTGGGTACATCAGAGTATGGAATGTAATACTCCATACCCAAACGCAAGACCTCGACTACAGCATCAGCACAGCTCGACGAGTCTCCTGAAGTAAAGCACGCCTGCCAGAGATATGACGCAAAGAAATGGCGCATTTCGTCCCAATCTGCTAACTTGTATCGCCACACCCGTCTCATACCACTAGGGCCCTGATCGGGTGGGGAGTATACGGATACAGTTTTCACCAGACAATGGTCGGAAGTACCCAGTGGGGCCTCCACAACCACAGAGTATCGGTCCGGATCAGTTGTCAGCAGAAGGTCCAAGCAATTAGCCGTATGAGATTCAACATCTGGTATCCTAGTGGCGCCACTGACAAGCTGGGATAAGCTTAGCGTTAACGCAAGTTTACGCGTCTCTCTCCCAGCGTGATCGGTCTTCTGGTATGGGAACAACCATTCTTGATGGTGTGCATTAAAGTCCCCCAGAATGACTAGTTGCGCCGCTGGGTACCTATGCTGAATCTCATCAGACGTCTCACTTAGATATTGGAACAGCTTGGTCGTCTCCTGATCTCCACTGTGCGATCGGTAAACACAGCAGTACACTATTTGTGTAACTCCTGTGTCAACCAGAAGCCACAAAATTGAAAAACTCGGTGCCTCAAGGTTCTTGAGACGCTTGACACAGATGTCATCGCGAACGTACACACAGACTCCGGCACGAGGTACGAACCTGTGCTCCAGAGTATACCCGGGGTAGCTGAGGTACGCTGCGTCAGTCGGACATCTGATCTGCGTCTCTGTGAGGAACAGCAGCTGCGGTTTGTCGGTTTCAAGGTGGTAGTGGACCGAATCGAGATTTGAGTGCAGACCTCGGATGTTAGTGAGGTGCACTTTTAGTGGGAGGACGTGCAACCGCTGTGTATACTTTTTTCCATTTTTATAGTTTTTCATTTTTGGATTTGGAGAAGTGAATAGGCAGGAGGAAGGCAGTTGAACGAGGCACTGCGTCGTGTTCAACCAAGCAGCAGACTCATACTGCCACACGAGGTTACAATCGGCTTGGAGACCGCGGGGACGCCCGAACCCCCCCGGAGATGGCCACCTGGTCCTCCCTTCCGGTCGCCAACCGGCAAGGTGGAGCATTCCGGGATTTTTCGTTGGGTGGCGGGGCAGCCTTTCACGGGTGGCTTTCCCGCTACTTGGGCCCCCAACTTCCCACGGTCGGCCAGCGGTGCACCGTGCTTCGGATCCCGCTAGCCTCCAGAACCGAGTGCTCAGTGTGGCAGTACAAGCAGCTACAACTCGCCGTCAGACGCAATGCAACTGTTCAGACCCGATGTTATATTGTATTTATGATTAGTCCGTAAATTATTTATTTAATATTTCTGTTATTGTTTTATTCTATTATTGTTATATTATATGTATGTTAGTCTGTAAGGTATGTATCTACGGGTCCTAGTTGCCTGAAATAAATAAATAAATAAATAAAAAATATGTAGTATAATTTCTTCCTGCATGATATTACAGTTATCGGTTTTTTTATGGTATGGTTAAGTGATGGGACGAACAAGTCGTGCGCCTGGCAGTAAACACATTAATGTGATTGTAATGCCACTCAGAGCTTCAAACCGTAAAAATCTAAGGGGCACTGCCATTACGCCCATCACCTTGAGACATTTGCCTATTATACCCATGTGCCTGTAATTTCACCAGCACCCTTGCCCTTAAAAACCGCAGTAATGCTCACATTACAGCTTGGCGGCAATAATTGGTAAAGTGGCAGTACTTCCCTGGACGAACTCTTTCATGAGGTGCTCTAGTGCTACAATCACTGATAGATTGAATATTGATGAAAATCTTATGCATATACAGAGATGAGAATCATAGATACGTAGTATATTATCGTAAAATATTAAGTAGTACTTACCTATTACTCGAATATTAAATAATATATCTTGATAATACACTCGAGTTCTTTTCATTTATTTTTTTTTAAATTTTCATAATGTAAGTCCGCAAAAGTGGCGCGCGTGTGGTGCGACTGTGGCGCTGCAGCTGCGTTTCTAAATATTGTATAAAATTCTAAAATTAATTGTAAATAAACATTGTAACATTCGATAAACTTAAAAATTACAAATGTCATATTATTATTACTAAATATTTAGCTTAAGTAGGTGCACAAGAAACAACTGTTTATTGTATGTTGATCGTCAATTAAACTCGAGCCATTTAATGCTGTAGGGAAGCAGGGCTAAACGAGGAGCCGATTACACCCTGTCCATGGAGGAAGCCATCAATCAGCCATTGGTTCGCTTATTAACTCTATTTCGGGGACTCGCAATTTGCCGACTACATCGTTTAGAACTAATTTTCTCAATCGATCGCTCCTAAGTTGTTTAGTGAATTGTCGCGCAAATTCAATTTAGTTTCTGTGACAACCTACTTAGGTTATTGGTATTAAATTCTTATTGTGAAGCACGGTAATAGAAAATCGAGATTTACGAGTATGTTGTAATTTAAATCCGTTTCCACAATTCGAAGAAACATTTGTTTGAAGAAACATTTGTTTTTCTAAGCATTCGACCTTTGTATTAATAATTATAATAAACTACAACAGACTTAATTACAGTGAATAGCGACATCTCTAGCCAGGGCTGGTAGCTGTAAAGGTGCCTAACCGGGTGACGAAAAACTTTCATAGATTTCTCATAGATGGCGGTACGGCTAAAAAGTCGTTAAAAACCAAAATAAATACAAAGATCCGACAAGCACATGGTAAAATTCGTGAGGTCCGCTGGTTCGTCCCGTGGCTTACTTGGCACAGCGTGTGGCACGGTTTGCTAGAAGACGTCGGTTCGAAGGTTACCTACCAGAAGTCCGAAGTGACATTTTCCAGAAATAACATTTGCTCCAATTTTCATAACCTCGAAAGTAATTTTGAGAGCAAAATGTTTTTATTTTAAACCCAACTTAACCTAACTTTTTCTTTATTACCGTGAGGAAAATGCGTTACGCCTTCCCCGCCGCTGGGAGACGGCGGGGATATGTGGGATTCTCTCCTGGGGACTATGTCGGTCCCCAAGAGCATACCCATTAAAAACCTCACGATGTTCCCGCGCGCACCTGGCGCCGAAGCCGCGGGATTTCAGATGCTACCGCGACTCCGGTGGTGCCGGTCCGCCTTTGGGCGGTCCCTACACCATCCCTCCCTTAATCATGTGGGGCGACCTGCACGGAGATGCACCGGAACATTTGGAACATCTACCGGCGGCGGAGGCCTGTGCAATGCAGGGGCAGGGTCTCCTAACCCTGCACCCTGCTGGCCTCCGCTGATGGGACGCAGGCGGTTGGCGAAGAGCCGTCGCGTGCGTCCTCTCCGCCGACGCCAAATGGGGTCTGAGAGGGCGCTGTCTTCGCGGACCCGTTCGGCCGTCTCCTTCTGCGACATCACGTCCTCGCAGAAGGAGACCATCGCCTGTCATGACCTCCGCTTCCCAGCATGGGTCTAACTGTGCTGGGCAGTGAGAGGTCTCGTCCCACCACGTCTCAAAGATCCCGGCGCTGCTGGCTCCAGGTCGGGCACACCTCCAAGGTGTGCCTCGCCGAGTCTGTAGTAGCGCACTCGTGACACTCCGGGGTCACTTCCCTAGTTTTATAACCCAAAATTTTATTTCCAACGTGTAGCAACCGTGAAAACCTACGGATTCATTGGTACTCTTCACATTTTAATCAAGTTTTTTTTCTAAAGTCTGCTCTCTTTTGTTTCAGAAACGATGATGAACGAGTCCTATAATGCTGTATAAAAGCAGTACATAGGTCTATTATTCAAGCAATAATTCACAAAACTTAGGAACCCCGTAGGAAAATAGACGCTATAACAAGTGCTAAAGTTAAATATATAGTCTATAGAAAACTTTGATACAAAATCTTCCATATTTTAACTAGTGTTACCAAAGAAACGTTAATTATAAGCGAAAATGTGGTGTGACTCTTAGTTGATATAGGTAAAAGTGCAAAATGATTCGTAATATTAAAATCCGAATTGCCCGGGCTCCAAGCTCGGAGGACAGTCAAAGACAAAAGCGGTTGGCATAATAAAAAATAATGTTAATAAAAAAATGCCGCAACGCGCGCCGACATCGTCCAGCTTGATGCGACCGTTCGTGGTGTTGGCCCTGCCCGGAATGTATTTGCTGTATAAGTACAACCAGTACCGCCAGCAGCAAATGGAGACCGCGCGGCGCCGAGTCACCGAGCGGGAGCTTATGCACCTCAACACTAAAATCGTGAGTAGATTTTTACACTTATGCTATTAATTATGGATGCGAGAAATACCAGATTGTGACACAATTGTTGCATAGTATGGGAAACTGGATTCCAGATTGTTTAAATGTTAACTTAGGGAGTTACCATATTTATATTCGTCGTCATACGATTGTTGTGTCGCCACCATTTAGAAGAGCTAAAGTAGATCTAATCTCACCTGTCTGCCATCTGTCTAGATCAGGTACACTATGAGCAAAGCACAGTGGATATGTTCTCGGACTCGCTAACCGGTATCCATAGAGCAATAATTAACATGTAAACATCTTGTCTATAACTATTATTATTGATTTAATTTTTTTTATCTATATGTTGTTTTCAGTTTCTTTCATATATTCGATAATATTCGATTAAGTTAAGTTTCATCTGTCACTGGCTGTGCATCTTTTCGAAATACTCTTATCTATGCAAATTGAACATGTTATTTGATGTAACTAATAAATAAAAAATTAACAAAAAATATTTAGACCTACAGTTCAAAACAATAATGTGTTTAGAATGTTGATTAGACTGTTACAGTGTCTCTACCAGGTGTGCATAGGCGCGGGTAGATGGTGTCAGTGCCAATATCCGCAAGTAAACAGTCTTACTGCTGAGCACACTACGGTGTAGCGCCGACACCTATTTACATTACAAGTTACACTTGAACGATATGACCTGTCCACTATGAAGTATTTCATTCATTCCTGATTGAATAGTCTCATGATGTCTATTTGACCCGACTGGATTCGAACCAGCGATTTTTGCCTCAACGTGGTTGCCATTCTGCAGCGATACATATATTTTACAATATCTCAATAAATATATTTAACTTTTTTTTTAATTCGTCAGGTAGCTGACCCTAAACTAATTTTTAGTTTTTTTCTGTTACGAATAAAACAACTCACGTTGTTATTTCAACGCAAGTGTACTCTTGGCATCGTATGTTAGAGCGAATCATCAATCTTTCGGGAAAACATTTTCCGTGCCGCATGCTGCTTACGAAAAAGGTCAATATTGACTGACGTGTTGTATTGGGCGCTTTTGCGCCTTTCTTTCTGCCTTCCACGTCTACTTCTATACCCTTGAAAAGTAACATACGCTAAAAGACGCAATGTTATGTGACGTCATTGATGCTATTACGACGTTTTATTTCATCATCCTATTTAAGAGCCAGGCTCTTGTCGGTAAACCCTCCTCCACTCCTCACGGCTCATAGCCAACTCGTTGACCTCTTTATAGCTGCTCGCTTTGATGTTTTTCTTTATCTGTTCTCTGTACGCCGTCGGTGGACTTCCTCTCTTTCTTTTTCCTTCTATCTTTCCCTCAATTACCATTCTCACAAATTCGTCGTTACGTAACAGTTGTCCAAAGATTTCTCCTTTCTGTTCTCTATGGTGTATCATCACGCTCTATTTACCCTTAACGTCTTAGTATTTTCCCTGTTAAGGTAGAAAAGAACAATAAATAATTTTGTATAGTGTTCAAAAGATTTTTTTCTTCCTTTCTCTTTTCAAAACTTCCTCATTTGATATCTTCTCAATGCATTTCATTTTCTCCATTCGCCTCCAGCACCACATTTCAAATGACTCCAATCTATTTTTCTTTGTGTTTGTCCATTTCTCGCATCCGTTCAGTGAGGTACTCCAGACATAGGTTCTGAGGAATCTTTTTTTCAATCGTAAAGATATTTTTCAGGTGAAAATGTGTTTTTTATTATGAAAAGCATGTTTTTTCTATTACGAATCTCTTTATGTCAGTGGTACATTTTATTTATGAATAGAGAAAATATAAATCTAGTAAATGACTAATTATGCGTATTCCAGGGAGCGCCGCGCGGTGTGGCTGACGACACGCGAACGCTTGCAAAAAAAATGTTAATAATACATACCCTATGCGATTTACGTACATTATAATGAAGTCTAGCTCTATACTTGTTGTTTTCATTATAATTAAGTCAAGGTTATAAGCGCTATTTTTTAGTCGTAGCATTCAGTACTTAAATGTGAAATTTCTTTAGACGTTCTTTTGAGAAGGCACTCTAAAAAACTTTAGGCAAATCACCAGAGGAGAAGCGGGAAAATCAGTTTTGTTAGATCAAATGATTTAGGATTTACTAATAAATATCAGTCTTACAAAAAATATACGATACACCTAAAGATATTGTCTAAATAATGTGCTAATTCGCTACACGATACTATGTACTTTATCTGATCATATAAAATCCTGAAAACAGGTTAAATAAAAATCTAAAACGAATTATTTAAGAACAAAATATCATTAAATAGAAAACCTCCGTGAGACTCAGACATATTAACTAAAAAATAACGGATAACTCACGCATTTACGTCAAATTTTCGCTCGACTTGTTTCGAACCAATTCGTGGTCCGTGGTCAATCGTGACAGTGGATGGTCGGTACCTCTCGGCTGGAAAACAGTGTTAGGTACTACGTCAGTGGTTAGTGTAGACGAGACTTTAGAAAGTGACGTTGTTAGTGTAGTGTGCAATCCTGCATATGACTTTAATAATAATTATTATTAAGCAAACGAGGGTAGATTCTCGCCGACGCCGCCTGCGCCCGCTGCCGTACTGAGTGATCGGGCTGCCAGGGCTTTGGCGCGCAGTTTCCGTCGAGTCACCGCCGCAGAATCTCATAATTAAGGACCACGAATTGATTCGAAACATGTCGAGCAAAAATTCGACTTAAATACGTGAGTTATCCGTTATTTTTTAGTTAATAAAATATCTAACTTTGAACGTAACTTTTGTATACAGCTATTTCTCTATTAATACTACAGAGAACCTGCTAAATTTTGATTTTCAACTGAAGCCCTGTAGTTGTTAAATTCATATTTATTCCAAAACTTGAAAATTGCTAGCGGCTTAACAACACACCGCCTACGCCTCGTCATTTGCCATCGGGCGCTTGTCAACGTCGGATATGTATCAAATTTCCTCCGCCTGTTCCTATTTTATTTATATTAATTACACCACCTACAATCCAGGCTTGCGTAAAATACCTATCCTTAAAGAAGCAAAGGTTACAAACATTAAACGGTTTTTAAAAAAAAACATGCCTAATATTATTATCGTGTAATTTGTACCTAAATGGTTGTAAATTTGTATTTGTCGTCAATTCTCATGATGTTTTCCTTTATTGTAATTTGTTATTAAAGTTAAAATACATTTTGTATTACGATCATTGTTTATGTTTTCTCTAATTATAAAAAACCGAAGCGGAGTCAGTTTTAACAATCGTTTCCGATCGGACCGCGCCGACACGCAGCCCACGCCTTTTTCACCCTTATTACATGGAAATAAAGCTTTTTCTAGTCAGTTCAATAAGATTTCGTGTCGATAAATATTACTTGCAAAGGTAACATTTAAACTGCACCAAAGATAAGCGTTATAGTGTATGCCATCGATACAATAAGAAGAAGAACTGCCAAATTTACATGTGGCGGTCTCCTTCCTCGTTACGTCACTCGCGTGAATAGAGAAGTCCGTTATGACACTATCTAAAATATAACATACAGTCTTTTATTATGATTATGAGGCGGATTTGTTATACAGAATAAAAAACCGACCTCAAAGATTTGTGGAATTACATCTATTTTTTGACAAGTTTTATTGAAATCGGATACCGGAAAGTGCGCGAAACCGGATTCATCCCTTAGTTTGCCATCCTTAGAGGTGGAATATTTTCTTTCCAACAAAAAAGAAGCATCAAAATCCGTTAACAAATGCCTTCGCTACCGCGTAACATACATAAAAAAATACAGTCGGATTGAGAACCTCCTTTTCTTGAAGTCGGTTAAAATAGCCATAAATATGAAAATATAAAAAATCTTGTGGGTGGTGGCATTGACTTACAAATAAATAGACGACGGGTCTAATACAAAAACCACGAAAAAAAAGTCCCAAGTCAACCTATTCGAAATTTAAATTGTAATGTCATCGCAGTATCGCGCTGTCAGTAGAACAAATGAAGACTAAAGCGGAGTGTCGCGCTCTGTATACGATTTTAGCGCCTTACAAGTGCGGACACTTTTTAGCGCGGACCCGACGACCATATAAGTGTAAGTCAATGGGTGGTGGTGAAATTACGGGCACGTGGGACTTGTCAAATTAAATCTAGGAGTGACGGGCGCAGTGGCAATACTCATCAGATCTTTATCATTTAAAACTCTGAGCGACATTACAATTATTATGGACAGGTGAGTCGCTTACCATCAGGCGCAACTTGTTCGTCCCGTCACTGGGTATCATAAAAAAACTTAGTTGGTTAAGAGCGGTTGCCCCGATATGGCTACAGACACTGGTTCGAATTCAACTAGAACTGGACTTTTTTTAGAAAGATTTTTTTCTTAAATGTGTAGCATTCGTTAAAAATCTAATAACTCTACATGGGTATTCAAGATACATATGTTAAATAAACATAAATAAATATGTATAGGTGTTTACTTAAATAATATAAACCCAATACAACATACCCGTCTTAAAGTATGTATTCATAATATTATTAGTCATATTCATAGTACTTTATTGATAACAAATGAGTTACGTAATGAAACAATGAAAATTAAATTGATTAATTATCAATAATCAATTGATACATTTATTGTAACCGTAATAATAATTCATTTAATAATAATAATATAAATTAAATCAAATGTGGAATTCATGGCATCGATCGATCGAATATCGGTTGGCAAAAAGTAGGTGAAATGCAACAAACCGAATTCATCCACCAATTTGACACTTTTACTGGAATATTTTCTCCGAATTTGAATGGGACAACTACTTTGGTACGTACCCTCTTTCAAACAAAAAATAATCATCGAAATCGCTGAACTGCCTCCGTGGCCGAACGGTTACCATGCCGGACTGCCACGCAGAGAAATAGTTGTATGGCCTACAATTATTTCTCTCGTGAGTTTGGGTGTAATTTGTGGTTGTCTATGTGTGTGTCCATGGCACCC